AAGTGGTAATGCACATAATATGTATGAAGATCTGCAGTTACACGTACAAATAGGGATGTAATTACAAAAGAAATAATGCCAGTTCGAATATAGGAATTACCATGTAGACATCGATTCCCAAAAGAGGTAAGTCCGAACGAAGAATGAGCATGTTGGTAGCTTTGATTCAAGTTAAGAATTAAGTGAAAGAACGAATGCAAGGTACAATTTGATTAGCAGAGAATGAGGATTAATGAGTAATAATGAGGTATCTCACTGCAGTGGAAAGTTTTGAGATCCTATATTCGTCCACAAATAATCAACATGTCGCGCTAAATCTCGACGAATTCTACTTCAGTTCACATTTTTTTCAGTTATTTTCACCCAAAGGCAGTCTTATTCCGCAGTCAGGAGTTGTTAACAGGATTACTCTCAAGCTCCCAACTCTCAATCGCGACGCTAATGCAACGCGTGGATTATTTGTGAACGCTTACCGTAATTACAAGATTCTCGGTAGATAAGACTCAGAGATATCACCGAGATACGGCTTAGTTAGAGTAATGCGAGTTAAGGCTGAAAACCTCTGAAGTGGATGCACTCACTTCAAATTTGAGCTCTACACTGACGGATATTCAACGCTATTATATCAAGAAAAGAGACTCTCTTTACGGTAAACTTGGATTTGCGTTAAATCTCGGTATTCAGTTTAAAAAAACAAATTATCTCGATGCTTTAGTTCCATGCATATAACCTTTCAAAGTATTCTAGAGGTAGAAAAGTAGTTAGGCGTGAAATTCCGCTAACTTGTGGAAGTAAACTGTTCCTCAGCCTTAGCACACATTTCTCTCAAAGAAAAGCGGAAATTCCTTATTACTAGCTATCCTCGTCGTTCTTTTCAAATAGCCACCTTCTCGTTTTAGTGACTGCAGCCTGTTTCGCAGATCGTGTTAATACTGGACGCGTTCGTGCCACCGGCGTTACAAGAGAACCTGTCACGGCTGTAACAGTAATTTACGAAAGCCTTCATGAAAAACTGAGGAGAAAATTAGACTTACAAGGTGGAGATGGTGTCTGCTGGCCATCTAACAGTTGTTGGGTGGTTTTCCTGGTAGTGCTACTCTTTTTCCTTTTGGCGGTGGATATCTTGCTCGATCTTATTGGTGTACTATTCGACGACTTTGGCGTACGTCTCCTCCCTCGCCCTGGTGTTCGTGCAAATTTATCACGGAGCTCTGTGAGGCGATCTGCACCTTCAAGCTCCTAAAAATGCCATAAATAAGAAGTGACTTCGAACAAGTTGTTTTGAAAAAAAAACATGCTTACTTCAGCCTTTCGAGATGAGTATGTCAGCAAAGCATGCTCAACATGTCGCAGCAATCTCTGAATTTCGCCGGCTATCTTGCTCTTTGTTCCAGCTGTGGCAAGCACAATCTTAACAGTATGTTATAGTCCAAATTATAACATAAAGAAGTTTGGGAAAAATTCTCTAAATAGCACAAAATACTAACATCCACATTATTCTCCACCATTTTTTGCGTCTCTTGGAGTTGTTCAGACGAAAACTCGTTCAAGTCTAATGCTGCCGCTGTCTCCCAATACAACAAAGCACAAGTGTCTTCTGGATGCTCGTAAGCGTAATTCAACAATTCTCGCATGAAAAGTGGTTGTACTGAGCCCTCCTTAACAAATTGTAATATCTTATTGAATTGAAAAAAATTTGATCAGACCTTTTTATCGGGAGCATTTCTTAACAAGATCTTTGAGGTTGAGTTGACAATGAGATTCAGCGCGCCTGCGATGTCAATTCGTAGAACAAAATCTTCATCAGAGGCGTTGCGAATGTGAGACATCAGTTCGTGAAAAGTTGATACCAAAAGCAACTGGTTTTTCCTCAAAAGCTCACTTTGAAAAACAAATTGTTAAGTTCGCTATGCGTAAAAACATACCTGCTAACAACTGGAAACATGCCAAAAAAACATTCTAGGCAATCTTTTACTGCGGGCATTTTGATCGTAAAACAATGAAACATCCTAAATAGAAAATGCTTTACTATACATATTCTCTACAATATTTGTACCTGGAAGTAAAAAAATTACCTTGAGATCAATGCAACAAGAGACTCAACTAGAAAATGATCATCAGTCGAAAAGCTCTCTACAAGTACGATCTTAGCCAGGCATTCACAAGCTTTCATGCAAAGAAGAGGTCCAGTTGTCTGAAATAATGGAGACAATGAACAAGGTAAGAAGTCATTGACCTCTTTTTAGATGTGTAATCAACTTGTAATAAACAGAAAAATACAAACGTACATTTAAAAAAAAACGATACACATGTAATATATTA